GGAGCTCCCAGAGGCTCCTAAAGGTTCCCAGTGGCACCCAGTAGGTCTCAGAAGCTCCCAGAGGCTCCCCAGAGGGTCTCAGAGGCTCCCAGGAGCTCCCAGAAGGTCTCAGAGGCTCTCTGAAGCTTCCAGAGGCTCCCAGGAGCTCCCACTGGCACCCAGTAGGTCTCAGAGGATCCCAGGAGCTCCCAGAGGCTCCCAAGAGTGTCCAGAGCCCTTCAGAGGCTCCCAGAAGGTCTCAGAGACTCTCTGTGCCCTGAGGCTACCACCAGCCCTGCTAGGACAAGGACAGGGCACAGGGACAGGCAGGGACAGCCTCTGTCCCTTGCTGGGACAAGGACAGGACACAGGGACAGGCAGGGACAGCCTCTGTCCCTCTGCTGGGACAAGGACAGGACACAGGGACAGGGACAGGCAGGGACAGCCTCTGTCCCTCTGCTGGGACAAGAACAGGACACAGGGACAGGCAGGGCAGGCCCCGGTCCCTTGCTGGGACAAGGACAGGACACAGGGACAGGGACAGGCAGGGACAGCCTCTGTCCCTTGCTGGGACAAGGACAGGGCACAGGGACAGGCAGGGACAGCCTCTGTCCCTTGCTGGGACAAGGACAGGACACAGGGACAGGCAGGGACAGCCTCTGTCCCTTGCTGGGACAAGGACAGGACACAGGGACAGGGACAGGCAGGGACAGCCTCTGTCCCTTGCTGGGACAAGGACAGGACAGAGGGACAGGCAGGGACAGCCTCTGTCCCTCTGCTGGGACAAGGACAGGGCACAGGGACAGGCAGGGACAGCCTCTGTCCCTTGCTGGGACAAGGACAGGACACAGGGACAGGGACAGGCAGGGACAGCCTCTGTCCCTTGCTGGGACAAGGACAGGACACAAGGACAGGCAGGGACAGCCTCTGTCCCTCTGCTGGGACAAGGACAGGACACAGGGACAGGGACAGGCAGGGACAGCCCCTCCCCACAGCCCTGCCCCTCCCTGCCTGGCACCCCTCTGCTCTGAGCCAGCAGCAGTGTCCCAGCCCAGGTGGGGACAGCAGCACAGATGTCACCTGGCTGCGGGAACACCAGGCAGGAGAGGGAAAATCCCAGAGCCAGCAGCAGCCGTGGGTGAGCCCTGGGATGTTTCTGGAAGTCAGGGAGCTGCTGTGGGCCAGGCTCTGAGAGGGGAGGATCAGCCATTGACTGATCCTTTAACCATTGACTGATCCATTAATCACTGACTGATCCTTTAACCATTGACTGATCCTTTAACTATTAACTCATTCTTCAACTACTGAATAATTCATTGGGCATTGACTCACTCTCCCCTGGCAGGGTGGGCACAGCTGGGGCTGTCCCTGGATCCCTGGCAGTGCCCAAGGCCAGGCTGGACATTGCGACACCCTGGCACAGTGGCAGTGTCCCTGCCATGGCAGAGGTGGCACTGGGTGGGCTCTGAGGTCCCTCCCAACCCATTCCATGGCTCTCTGAACTCCTGTGCTGGGAGATGACAAACGCAGAGGGCACAGGGAGTGTGCCCAGCTGGTCAGTGAGGGCAGAGATGTGTGGAGCATTAATTGCTGTTCTTCACCTTGAAAGGTTTCATTTCCCACAAAGGATGGAAACACAAACAAATCTGACGGGAAGGAATTCCTTGCCAAGGAGCCCAGCTGAAATCTGCAGCTCTTCAGGAGGAACCTCAGAGCTCAGAGGAATTCCGATCAGGAACAGGGAATGACATCACTGCACACACGGAATGGGGGCAGAGCCAAGGGAAGCAGTTCAAATAAAAACTGAGTTGTTATTATTGCTCAGTCCTTCAGAGGGGAAGGAGTCGGGGCTGGGAGGTCACTGCAGGTCAGGACTCTGCTGCTGCTGCTGAGGGGCAAAGCTGCTCTGAGCAGCCAGTGCAGGAGAAATGCCAGAAACACCAGAGTCCTTGAGGCTGGGAAAGCCCTCCCAGCCCATGGAGTGCCAGCTGTGACAGATCCCCACCTTGTCCCCAGCCCAGGGCACTCAGTGCCACATCCAGGTGACACCTGCAGGGATGGGCACTCCAAACCTCCCTGGGCAGCCCCTGCCAAGGCCTGAGCACCCTTTCCATGGGGAAATTCCTCCTGGTGTCCACCCTGAGCCTGCCCTGGCCCAGCCTGAGGCCATTTCCCCTTGTCCTGTCCCTGTTCCCTGGCAGCAGAGCCTGATCTCACCTGGATGTTTTGGGTCACTCAGGGCAGATCCTGCAACCCCCAGCAAAGGTTCTGAGGACTCCTCATGTCCCCACACTCTGCATTTCTCTGTATATTTATAGAATGTAGTTTATACATTAAGCTTCTACTTTACATAGGACAGGAAATTCAATCAAATTCAGAGCATTCATGACAACCAAGTTCCATTGGATTTACATGGAGCTGGTGCCACCACTGCTGTGTGACATGCTGGTGGCAGCTCAGTGTGACACAGACACTGCCAGCTGCCGAAAAGCTCCATTAAGCTAAAAAAGGGGAAGAGCAGATTTGTGTTTGTGCAGCCCCTGTGAGCTGGCCAAGGGGATCCTCAGGAAGCAGCTTCCCCCCAGTCACGTGCAGGAACTGCTGCATTTAGAAAAGCTGATATTTCTACCCAGTCTTCAGCAGGAAGAAACAAAATGCCAGAAAAAAAAAAAAAAAAAAAGAGAATCCTTTTTTTCCTCTTGTTCCTGGCAGCTGCTCTGGGCAGGGCCTGGCTCTCAGAGGACACAAAGGTCCCCAGTAGAGCAGGTGCCACCTTCCAGCTGTGACCTGGCATTTCCCTGGCTCCCAGGGTTTCCTCTGTGCCAAAGGACAATGCAAAAATCTCCAGTTCAGGGCAGTGTTTGATCCCTTATTCCCCTTTTCCCAAGCACAGGGCACTGGCAGGGAGCACAGAGCAGCCTTTAATTACTGCAGGTGATTAATTCACTGCCCCACTCCACAGGAGCTCTGGCGTGTTTGAACCTTGCCCAAATCTTCCAATCTGATTTCAGGCTTTTTGTAGACACAAATTTGGAGACTTTGAAGGCTGAGCTGGTCCAACAGAGCTCTGGGAGCCAGGAGGGACCCTCAGTTGTGCAAAGACTCAAGCCAAGCTGATCACTGCCTGCTGGAGAAGGATCATCCATCACCTGGCCTAGCTCATTTTCCCCTTTTCCCTTGAAACTGAGGTTATTTTTTCCCCCACATTTTCCTTTTTAACACAGAACCTGGGGCTGGGTTTTGCTGGAGCTCCACGGCTGCAGCTGTGCCTCTGCACCTTGTCCTCCACAGCCAGCCCTGGTGAGGCTCTGCCAGAAGCACCTGAGCGAGGCTTTTCCACTCCTCAGCTTCCTCAGGAAAATTTAAAACACCACAGAACCCAGGATTCTCTGAGAATCATGGAATTGTTTGGGTTGGAAAAGCCCTGTGAGAACACCGAGTCTAACCATGCCCAGCACTGCCAAGGCCACCTCTGTCCCCAAGTGCCACATCCACAGGGCTTTCACTCCCTGCAGGGATGGGGAATGCACCTTGTGCCAGGCTTTGAGCACCTTTTCCATGAAGGGATTGTTCCCAATATCCAACCTGGACCTCCCTGTGGTGACCTGAGGTGTTTGCACAAGGCCTGCACCCCAAAAAAGCTGTTTTTGTCACCAAACTCCAGCGACGAGGCCGAGCAGCTGCTCCACTCCCAGGCCCAAGCCACGGGGTCTGTCACCCTGATGGCCACAGAGAGGTCCCAGAAGGGGAACTGGGCTGGTGGGCTTCTCTTTGAGCTAGGTCTTATGAGAACTTATTACACTTGAGATAGTTTAGCTATTCTGAATGGCATAAAATTAGCAAGATGGCTTTTGAGGTAGTGTTGGAAACAGAAAAAGGTTTAATAAAAGGCAAAATAACAAAGCTCTTACAGAGAAAAAAAAAACTGAGCAGGGGCAAGAGGTTCTTGTTCCTGCTAGAACACCCCACAAAAGTGATTATTTCCTTTGTTCTCTTCTTTTCTTAGTGAATTACCTAGGTGGGACCTCTTGGCCTCTCTCTAATCAGACAGCCCAGGTGTGAGGTGAAGTCTGCCTCAGCCAAGGAATTCTGTGCACGAGTGAGGGGAGAAGGAAGAAGGAGAAGAGTGGATTGAAGGTGAACACTAACAGGACTCAATATCCAAATATTGCCTGGCTTACGAGGGAGAGGAACCTAAACCAGGCCAGAGCTGAGGCTCAAACCCTCCAGGAGCCAGCAGGGATGCAGGGCATGGCAAGGGAAGGCTGGCAGGAGCAGCCTGGCAGTGCCTGGGAGGTGTCAGAGCCTTGCACTCAGCTGTCACAGCGTCCTGGGTTGTAAGATGTGGTTTGGGGTGTGTATTCACTTCCCATCTGTCAGAGGTGGGGCAGTCATCCTCTGCTCATTGGGCAGTTTTCTTTATCTCTCCCACAGCCTGTGGGATCTCCTCCAGGAGATCTCTGCTGTTCATGGGTCATTAATTATTAATTATCTTCTGTTCAGGGCCAGTGAGTGTCACTGATAAAATTCCATCATCCCATTGGGAGATGCTCTGCCCAGGGGAGGAGCCAAGCATTCCTACCTGGATACAATCTGAGCCTGGAACAGCACAGCAGCCTCTGCCCACTGCATTCCCAGAGGAGCAGCTTTCTCCTGCCCTGCATTCCCAGAGGAGCAGCTTTCTCCTGCCCTGCATTCCCAGAGGAGCAGCTCTCTCCTGCCCTGCATTCCCAAGGAGCAGCTTTCTCCTGCCCTGCATTCCCAAGGAGCAGCTTTCTCCTGCCCTGCATTCCCAAGGAGCAGCTCTCTCCTGCCCTGCACTCCCAGAGGAGCAGCTTTCTCCTGCCCTGCATTCCCAAGGAGCAGCTCTCTCCTGCCCTGCACTCCCAGAGGAGCAGCTTTCTCCTGCCCCGCATTCCCAGAGGAGCAGCTTTCTCCTGCCCTGCATTCCCAAGGAGCAGCTTTCTCCTGCCCTGCATTCCCAAGGAGCAGCTCTCTCCTGCCCTGCACTCCCGGTTTGACTGAACTAAGGGAAAAGCCATTATTTTGCCAGATGTTTCTTTCTGTAGGGAACGAAGGAGGAAGTAATGGTTTGAGAAAGTACAGGGAAAGCCAGTGCAACATATATGAACCTCCAGAAGCTGAGCAGAAACACAGTAAGGAAGGGGGTTTACATTTTCCATTTCAGGGGAGGCTCCTGCCTTCCTGAGCAGACACCTGTCCTTTCCAACCAAGACACTCAGGTACCTGTCCCCTTCCCTGCCCACCTGCAGCAGCAGCAGCTGAGCTGGGATCATTCAGAGGCCAGAGATGTGCTCTGCTCCCAGCCAGGACCCAGGTGAAACCTCCTCTCCCCAGACAGGAACTCACCTTTCCTTTTCCACCTGCTCTTCCTCCTGTCCTTGGCGGCGCAGCCGTCGCTGCTGGAGCTGCTGTGCTCCGAGCTCTGCGAGTCAGAGTGGCCATCGCTGCTCTCCTCCGAGCCCTCCGACAGCTCCTTCAGCCCATCCGGGATGTCCTTCTGCCAGGGGACACGACAGAGCCACAGCAGGGTCACCCCAGGGCCAGGGACAGCCCCGGGGCACAACCCCACAACCACAGGGGTTTGTTCAGCAGGTGTGGCCCTTTTAATGCCAGGGGACACGTCCTGAACTCTGCCCCCAGCCCCGGAACTCTGTCACCTCCCAAAGTGCCCTTCCCCACATTCCATTTACCCCACCTCTGAATCAAAACCCTTCATCCAACAGATCCCATTGGGGTTTTCCAGCCCTGGGGACCCCAACCACCCCTTTTTTAAGCCGTGTCCCAGGGCTGGCACTCACCTTGAGGGTGTAGACGCCCATCCTGCCCGGGACCTTGTAGAAGATGCCCTCCTCCCCCCGGGAGTTGGTGTGCAGCATGGCATTCAGGCAGGCCAGGGGGGACGTCCCGCTGCAAGAGACCCCGTGAGTGTCCCCGTGGGACCCCCAGCCCCCGGGCAGCCCCGCAGTGCAGGGGGCCCTGATCCAACCCCACAGCCCAAATCCAGCCCCGCAGTGCAGGGAGCCCAAATCCAGCCCCACAGCCCAAATCCAGCCCCACAGAGCACGGGCAGGGGGCCCTGATCCAACCCCACAGCCCAAATCTGACCCCACAGCCCCCCAGGCAACCCCACAGCCCAGATCTGACTCACAGCCCAAATCCAGCCCCACAGCCCAGATCTGACCCCACAGCCCAAATCTGACCCCACAGCCCAGATCTGACCCCACAGCCCAGATCCAGCCCCACAGCCCAGATCCGACCCCACAGCCCCCAGGCAGCCCCACAGCCCCCGGGCAGGAGCCCAGATCCCGCCCCTATTCCCAAGGGAATGCAAAGTGAAGCTGGCACAATCAGCAATAGGGGAAGCAGTGCATGGATGCTGCAATCCTGGCAAAAAGCAAACAAAAACCCCCCAGGGTCAGGCTCTGCAAGGTTCCTCTGACAAACCCCAAAGCAGCCCCAGCTCTGGGTGAGGCTCAGAGCAGCTTTGGGATGAGCTGAGGATAGGCTCCAGAAGGATTCAAAGTTCTGTTGAAGGTTTTTTCCCCAAAAAAGAACCCGAGTTCTGCTGGAACAAGGGTTGCGGGGCACTAAATGGGAACCAAGTGTGCAGCTCCCCCTGGGAAGGGGGAGCTCCCCAGTCCCAGCCAGGAGAGTGGAGCCAGACCCATCTTCCCACCAGTGCTGGAGGGGTTTTTGGTTGGCTTTTAACCCGTCCTGCTGCAGACAGGAGCAAGCCCAGGCTGGCCCAGCAGGTGAGCTGTGTCCCTAGGGAGGGACAGAGGGACCCCAAACTGGACACAGGGACCCCAAATGGGATACAAGAATCCCAAACTGGACAGAGAGACCCCAAACTGGACAGAGGAACCCCAAACTGGACACAGGAACCTCCAAACTGGATACAGGAATCTCAAACTGGACAGAGAAATCTCAGATTGGACCAAGGAACATCAAACTGGACACAGGGACCCCAAATGGGATACAAGAATCCCAAACTGGACAGAGGAATCCCGAACTGAACACAGGGACCCCAAGCGGGATACAAGAATCCCAAACTGGACAGAGGGACCCCAAACTGGACACAGGAATCCCAAAATGGACACAGGAATCTCAAACTGAACAGAGGAATCTCAGATTGGACCAAGGAACACCAAACTGGACACAGGGACCCCAAACTGGACACAGAACCCCAAAATGGACACAGGAACCTCCAAACTGGACACAGACCCCCAAATTGGACACATGAACATCCAAACTGGATACAGGAACCTCAAACTGGACACAGGAACCTCAAACTGGACAAAGGAACCTCCAAACTGGACAAAGGAACCTCCAAACTGGACACAGAACCCCAAACTGGACACAGAACCCCAAACTGGACACAGGAATCCCAAAATGGATAGAGAAACCTCAAACTGGACACAGGGACCCCAAAATCAGAACGCCACCAAACCAGCCCCAGAAGGACACAAAACCAAGGCCAGATGCTCCCCCAGAACTCAGATGAACCCAAAGCGTTGGGGCCGTGCTGGACCTGCCTGAGCCTGAGGGAAAGAGCTCGGGGTGCTCTCCTTGGCTCACAGCTGGGGCTGCCCTCAGCCCTGGCAGGCTCTGCTCACCATCAGCCCCACGAGAGGCTGGGAAATGGTTTATTCTTGGAGGTGGAGCATGTTCTTCTGGGATGGGGTGGGATAATGGGAGGACTGCAGCCCTTGCTGGGTCTTTGCTGCCCCTGTGCCCAGAATCCCCCAATGTTCCTTGACTCTGTTCTCCCACTCCCTGTGTTCTGCACCTGGGCTGCCTCTGCTTACCTGGAGTGCAGCAGCTGCCTAAACCCAGCCCTAGGAACCAGATTCTGTTCACTGTCACAGAATTCACAGAATTCACAGAATCCCCAGGTTGGAAGAGACCTCCAAGGTCATCAAGTCCAACCCAGCCCCAAGAGCTCAACTCAACCCTGGCACCCAGTGCCACATCCAGTCTTCTCCTAAATACATCCAGGCATGGTGGCTCCACCGCCTCCCTGGTCCCTGGGAATTCCCAAAATTCCCAGAATTCTCAGAATTCTCAGAATCATTGGTTTGGAAGAGACCTCCAGGACCACTGAGTCCAACCCAGCCCCAACAGCTCAACTCAGCCCTGGCCCCCAGTGCCACATCCAGGCTTTGTTAAACACACCCAGGGATGGTGACTGCACCACCTCCCTGGGCAGAACATTCCAGAACTTTATCACCTTTCTGGAAAAACCTTTTTCCTGCTATCCAGCATGAATTTCCCTTGGTGCAGCTGCAGGCTGTGTGCTCTGGTTCTGTCAGTTCCTGGAGAAAGAGCCCAGCCCCAGCTGAGCACAGGCACCTTTCAG